CAAAAAAAAAAAAAAAAAAAAAAAAAAGCCAAAAAAGAACTAGATCTGGGGTGACTGGTTGAGGTTATACATGAAGCATGGCCCAGTTATTGGATTTATTTTTGATTTGTTTGGCTTTTAGACAAGGTCTCACTACATAGTTCAGTCTGATCTTGAATTCACTATGTAGCTCTGTTGGCTCTGAACTTGGGGTGATCCTCCTGCCTCAGTCTCTGAAGTGCTGAGATTGTGGGTGTGCACCATCTCGCCTGGCTGAGTCATTGGATTTAACATGCTGGTCTGGCCAGCTTTACCCCCTACTGACAACGAGTAGACTGGTGTTCCGGGTTATATGTCAGTCTCTTACAAATGTGGTTGGAGTGTCTAGTTCAGAAAAACCTAACAAACTAGGTCATATTGAAAAAATAAAATGTGTAGGCTGGGAAACCTGCAGGTTGTATAAAATCTTCTCCTGCAAGATCCCAGCTGTTATTTCAAATAAGAGACACCTATCTTCTACTCCCTCCCACCCTTGTTTTGGTACCAGGGATTGAATTCCAGGCCTTGCATGCGCGAAGTGGGTGGTGGCCCCACTGAGCTAAGTCCCTCCACCCTTTTGAGGTCGGGTCTTGGTATATTGCCTTCCGGGTGCTGGGGACCCAGGTGTGAGCCCCCTGCCCAGCTGCCGCCACATTTTCTTCTTGACATCTCCCCACCCGGCAGAAATCCATCATTTCTCAAAGGTGTGAAAACTGAATTTTTTTAAAGTTGAAGATTAGGTCAAATCAGGAGATTACTGAAGCTGGATAATCATGTCACAGAAAAGCCAAGTCATACTCTTACTTTCTTCCCGAGGTTACTACTAGAAAAAAGTTGCTCACAGGATGAAAGTCATTTTCGAAGAATTCCTTACTAACTATATGCAATGATGCACTCCTGTAATTCTAGTTACTCAGGAAGTTTAATTAGGCAAGTGGAACCCAAGTTCAAGGTCACCCTGGGCATTTTTAGCAAGACCCTGCCCCCCCCCACAAAAAAAGAAAAAGAAGGCTGGTGATGTAGACTAAGTGATAGAGTGCTTACCTACCATGCAGGAGGTCCTGGGTTCTATTCCCACCATTATGAAAAAAGCAAACAAAACAAGCAGACAAAAACCATTATGAAGCAAGCAAATAAACAAATATTATTCCTGATAATATCCAGTGCATCTGTTCAAATACTGGGACCCGCCAAGAGTTGTGGCGCATGCCTGTATTGTCTAGGGGGCTGAGGCAGGAGGACTGCCCCAAGTTCAAGGCTAGTTGGGGAATATAGGGAAACCCTGTCTCAAGGCAGAGAACAAAAACCAAAACCCCTACTGGGAACTGTGGATGCTGGCTGGGTGGTGAGAATCTACCAAGGGTTTCTCCGGATGGTGGGGTATTCTCAAGGTTCCCTTGCAGCTGATGAATTCCTTCCCAGCATGCAAAGGGAACATCCTGGCAGGAGAAGGGGAGGCTGGAGGCAGTCACGTGACAAACGAAGTAGCAGAGTGAGAGGGCCCACCCCAGACCCAGGTAAGAGAACATTTCCAGAAGTAGGACTGAGGGTCCAGAATTTTCTGATTCACGAGCTGACAGGTTGCTCACCTGGGTGCAGGCGTAGAGCTGGTTCTCCAGGGACCTCAGTCTGCCCTTCAGCTTGTCCTCATTGAGCTGTCCCTGCGCAGAGGGGGAGTGAGAAAGTGTGAGGCGTGGTGCAGGCTTGGTCACGCTGCTCCCACCCACGACCAGCACAAGATGGGTGCGTGGTGCTCGCAGCGTGGAACTCTTTCCAGAGTGGCCTGGGGAGAAGACGGGCCTCTTTCTTTCACCTTCCCATCCTCTCAGATGGCTCAGGCGGTGGCCTGGGGGAGGGCCTGGAGGAAACTCAGCTGGCGGCCCTTTTCCTCTCGGTACCTCCACACGGTTGGGACTGGGCCTCACTCCTCACCTCAACCTTGTGTGTGTCCCCTCCCTGCTCCCTGAGAGAAGCTGAATTCCCCTCACCCTGAGTGGTGTCTGGTACCTCAGGGTGTGACCATATTTGGAGATAGGGTCTTTAAATAGATAATTAAGTTAAAATAAGTTCATTGGGGTGGAGCCTAATCTAATATGACCAGAACTGTTTTTGTTTTTTGAGAAAGGGTCTCAAAAACTCACTATGTAGTTCAAGCTGGCCTTAAACTTGCAGTGATCCTCCTGCCTCAGCCCCCTGAGTGCTGGGATCACAGGCGTCCACCACCACACCAGGCTGAGGAATCTTTTTTTTTTTTTGGTACTGAGGATCTTTCAGAACTTGGCACCGGCAGGCATCAGAACCACTGAGCTAAATTCCCAGCTCTCTCTCTCTTCTTTTTTTTAAATAGCAGAACTTTTAAATGTTGTTTGTTGTTGTTGTTGTTTTTTTTTTTTTTTTTTTTTTTTTTTGTTACCAGCAATTGAACTTTTAGGTCCTTGTGCTTGCAAGGCAGGCCACTGAACTGCTGAGCTACATCCCTGGCCCCAGAACTTTTATTTGATGATACAAAGGGGAAGAGTGCCTCAAAAGTTTCAAACACCGAATTTTACTGATGTGATAATTTGTTTTCTATCTAAGCAGATGTGTGCTTTAAAAGTACACATTGGGTATGCTGCAATTGGGTATGTTCTATTAGAAATATTTTTATGGTAATATATTACATACTTTCTGTAATTATGGGGGAAAAATCATAAAATTCATACATATATTTTCAGTAGGACAGAATAAATGTATTATATATATGTGTATATATATGTGTGTGTATGTGTGTGTGTGTATATATCTATATATATATATATATATATATATCTTTGAAAAGCAGTGGACTTAAAAGTTTCTAATTCGTGCACTCCACTGTTTTGTTTTTGTTTTTTGTTTTTAGAGACAGGTCTTGTTATGCAGTTCAGGCTGTCCTTGAACCCTGTGTATCTGAGGCTGGCCTCGAAATTGCAGTGATCCTCCTGCCTCAGCCTTCTGGGAGCTGGGATTACAGGCATTATAGATCCTGCAGACATGGAGGGCTGACTCTTCTGATACACTGCCCTCCTTCACAGACACACACACACACACACACACACACACACACACACACACACACTGCTCAAGACGGGAAGTGGAGGGGGAAATTCTCAAGTGCGGTGGGGCAGGCAGGGGAAGGTGCTTTCCTGAAGTGGGCCAATCTGATGGCATTTCTTTTCTCATCAGTGCTGGGCGGTCAAACCCAGCGTCTTGTACGCCCATCTGAGGACATTTTGACATTACAAGAGGGACACTTATCCAGGGCTGAGAGTGGACAGTGGTGGGCGGGAAGGGTCACTCTCTAGTCTTCAACTTTTCAGTTGAGTTGCTAACGTACTAACTTCCTTGCTGTTGTGTAATTCCCCCACCTGTAGACTTGTACCTTTTTCCTAGGCAGGTTTTTTTTTTCTTCCAGTTTTTTTTTCCTTAGGTCTGTTTATCTGTGGGGGTGGCAGTACCAGTGATAGTAAGTTTCCCAGAGAAAGGGCTATGGACTTCTTTAGCACTGTTTTCCATGTTCCTTTTCTGACTTTTTCCTTCCAGGCCCTGTGGGACTCTTGGGTTTAAAAACTCTACTGCTCTTCAGGCCTCAGAGGCAGTGGCCCCTCTCAGTCTTACAGCGAGGGCATTTCCAACCCTCATCATATTTCTGGTCTATAATTCTGGTCCTGCATGAGTGGGAGTAGGGGAGGCAGGAAGTGGGTCTTGTTTGGCTGACTCTTCTAACCATGGGGGCCACCACCCTTTCTGCTTCCTGTATTACTCAGCTAAGCCTTGCAAAAGCAAAAAGCTTTCCCAAAAACAGTTCTTTCAAGTGCCTCCTGCTATTGATTTCCCAGTGTCACATGTGAGAGAGTCGAGAGTCAGGGATTTGGTATCTGCAGTAACCACAGGGCTTTGGGACAAATGAAAGAGATGGCAAACACTTCCCTTCTGGGCCTTGGTGAAATGGCCGCATTCCACAGAGTGGCCTGCTCACTGTCCACACACGGATTCTGAACTCAGCTGGCTTTTCTCCTGCCTCCCCTGGTTCAGATCTTCCAATTCCATGCATTTTTCTTTGCCTACAGTGTTACTGTTCAGGATGCAGCCAAAGCCAACAAATTTGAAGATTATTTTGCTGGCATTTAGAAAGAAAATAGGACCAAGGCAATATTCTTAAAATTTCTCCCATCTCCTATCCTTTTTGGATAGCTCTTTCCCCCGTTTCACAGTATGGCTTTAATATATTTTAATATATCTTGCCTCTTCCAGCTGATTTTACATTTTAGCTCAACCCCAGATTACTTTTCCAGTGATGTCGAAATACAAGACAATTCACTTGATCTTAGCCAAAAGGCGGAGAAGTGATAATACAAGACAGTTTATGAGAGCCCCTTCTGTGGGGAGCAGGGCCACCCATGTCTGTGCCCTGAACAGAATCTGCTGTCCACAGTCCTGCCTTCCCAGACCCCCAAGGCAGGCAGGAACGTTCCAGCCAAGTTGTTACAAATGGGGCATGTAGTCTCCTGGTCGGAACCCAGGTCTGCCATGTTGAGGCTCAGTGTTCCAGGGTGGGAAAAGGCACTTCCTACAGGCCTGCTGCTGACTTTCCTGCAGATACCGGGAGCTTGGGGCTCATAGTCACAGCTACCCTGGTAGAAAAGGAGTAAGGCAGAGTCGTACACACCTGGTGTCGGTCTGAGGGCGTCAGCTCTTGCTTCTGCTTGGTTTTCCCCTGCCTCTGAACTGTTCTCCACAAACACCAGCAGCTCACCACAGAAATACCAGCCCACAGCGCAACTCTCTGCTCTACAGAGCCTGCTTAGGGCATTTGGCCAATCCCCTGCCGTGCTGCCATCTCAAAATTGCCATTGTACTGTACAGGTCTTAAAGCCCAAGAACACCCTCCTCCCATCTTCATGTTGTCCAGCCCTGAGCTTCCTGTACTGGCTGAGTTGTTTCTGCTCTGAGGCTGGACCCCGGTTCTGAGCAGAGTCCCAGGCCATCGGCAGCTGAAAGGCCTAGTGTCCACGTGGAGGTGGAGATGGTGGGGCTGCAGGGCCTTGGGCTCTAATAGCATTGCTGCTGCGAGCTCCACATGTGCTGTGGGGAGATTCAGATCACAGGGCCACGTGGAAAAAGTAAAATGTGAACTGGACCAGATGTCAGACCCAGTTCTGGCCACATTCATCCAGTTATTTTTCCCAAGTATCACAGACTGGGCTATGCTTTCATTGAAGTTGAAGCTTTTCGGGAGGGACAGAGTTGACTGTCTTGTTTTAGAAGAAGCAAGAGCTGTCAGCTGAACAGCCTGAGAGTATTTTTCTTAAAAACAGGAAGCTGGGGACCTGGTCAGGGGGTTGGGGAGCAAGAAGTGAAGGGTAAGGACTGAGGGGCTGGGTAGGGGAAGGAAGGGAGGGAGAAAGCCACAGCCAGAGGAACTTCTGAAATTCTGCCTCAGAGCCGAGGCCAGAAACGCCTCTTAGTAAATTATCTCTGTGTCCCCAGGCTTGCTGTGATTGAGGCTGACTGTGGCTCCTCTGGGTTACTGCAGGTCTCTGCTGTCCTGACCCCACCCAGAGCCAGGTCCTGGCGGTGCTCAGAGAACATTAGACACAGATGTGGTCCTTCACTTGTGATTCAGTTGAGTGCTTCGTACGGAAGGACAGACTGCTGAACCAAGTAAGGCGTTGTCCCGTCCCCCTACCCCGCACTCCCTCTGTACCGGGGATGGAACCCAGGGCCTTTGCCTTCAGCTACATCCCCAGCCCTTTTTGTTTATTTCATATTTTGAGACAATCTTGCTAAGTTACTCAGGCTGGGCTCAAACTTGTTATCCTGCTGCCTCAGTTTCCCAGAGTTCTGGGATTACAGGTATGAACCACCATGCCTGGCTGCTGCCTTGCTTCTCCACTGTTTTCCATTTGTTTCCCAAATGGGGTGGCATGCAGTTTATGTATCTGTGCGATAGATCCTTTTTTGTGTGTGGGGGTTATAGAAATATCCTTTCACTGAGCCCATACATAATAAAAATAAATACAATAGACTGTCCAGTTATTATTTGAGCTTTTGATACACTGTTGGAATCCTAGCGCCCTGGGTCCTTTCCTTGGTTCTAGTCTGATGTGACCCCTTTATTTCTTCTACATCCAATGTGAGGGCGTTACCCTAGGCTGCAGTCATTCTGACCCTTTACCTTAGACACTCTTCTCCTCTCTGCTCTTTCCCCCCATCTCCTGCGTTTCTGTTCTCGTAATCCCCTACTCACCCTTCAGGACCTAGTAGAACGGTGTCTTCCCTGTGGAGCCTTCCTGATCCTGCCCTGGCAGGACAGTGCTTCTCCCTGTGTCTTGTGCACATCACAGTTGCGGCCTTACTGTACTGCTTTGGAGTTCTTATTATGTCTCTGTCTTTCTGGCTGGACTGTGAGCTTTTTAAGAGCAAAGACTGCTTTTTGTTCCTGAAGTGCAGGGCCCATTGTGGAGGAGGAACTTGTTGGATGTCTGTTGGGCAAATGAGTGAGACCGGAAGCCACCTGGTTGCCCTGCTGAGGGAAGGGTCTTCCTTGGCAGGCCTGGTCTCTGAGCAGAGACTCCCAAGCCCGATGCTGTGACTGGAGTGAGGGTGAGGGGCTGAGCTGGAAAGGCTTTGCTTAAAACACGTGTTTTAAATCTTGTATTTTTTTGTGGTATTGGGGATCATACTCAGGGCCCCATTTGTGCTACACAAGTGCTTCATGCTGAGTGACAGCCCCAGCCCCAGGAAGTCCCTTTGTGTCACTGCTTTTTTCTTGGCTTTGTTTTGTACACTTTTCTCTTCTGAGCTCAGCTATCTTCCTGGTGTGGTGAGGTGTTTCCAGGGCACTGTCCCTGCCAGCAAAGCACAAGAACACCCTGCTCCCATCTTCATCTTGTGCAGCCCTGAGCTTCCTGTACTGGCTGAGCCGTTGGAACCCCCTGTACCTGTGGGTACCAGTGGGTTTCAGGGGGAGCTCACAGATCCCTCGAGTCCTCAAGATCCTCTTAAGAGATCTGCAAGGTTTCCCTTTTCCAACTACATGTCTGTGAGAGATTGAATTTTCTTTATCTATTTCAACTGAAATAATGTGTCACAGTGCATTGAATGTAGAAGCAATTTAGAAATTGAAATTTGATTTTAGCTTTCTTTTTTTTCATTTAGACATTAAAAGTGTGAAGGAGTGCCACTCCTCCCATGATTTTTTGGAAAGTATAGTTATTCTTCATAGAATATATAATTTAGGTTAGCACCAGATAGCTTATTGTTAAAATTAATAAAGATTTCTGATTCTGTTTTTAACTTGGTAAGTTCTAATACGTTAAATATAAAAAGTTATTTGAAATTTTTAATAATTAAATAATATAAAGCAGTCTTGAGATGAAAAAAGCAGTTGGAGAAGCGTTGCACTCGATCATATGCCTCTGTGTCTTTGCCTACGCTGTCCCCTATATAGGATACTATTTCTCTTTTTCCATTTGCCTGGCAGATGCTTCTATAACTGTAAATATTTCCCTGGATCTCCCCTTCTGGAGTTATTCCTTCTTGTAGTCTACTGTACCCTAAAAACATTCATTTCTTATAATATTTGTGTTGTTTGGTCTCCCTTAGAAAATTATGTGCCACCTAAAATCAGGACCCCTGTAAAAATCTCGTTTTTTCCTGTGTTAGCTCTGTGCTCAGCAGGAAGAACATGATCTGTGGATATTGGTAGAATGAAGGGCCTGAGATTAGAAGCCTATACTCTGGTTCCATTTCTGCTGCCACCTTGCTATATGACTCTGGCTCTGGGCAAGTCACTCACCCTCCTGAGACTTTTCCTCAGGAGCAGGCTGAGCGGCTCAAGCTCCTCTCTAAGGTCCCTGCCCACAAACACTCATGTCTGCGCTGAGCAGTGGGTGCAGGGCGGCTTCGACAACCATGCATGTGAATCCTGTACAGAACCATCACACTGCTGGAAGAAAGAGCCCTCAGATAAGAACGGCCTTCGTTTCAGCTTTTGGTTCTGAGTTTTCTGGCTGTGTGGCAGCCAGACCCTCAGCCGATGACCCTTGTATTTGCTGTGACCTGTTTGACCGGCCCCTGTCCAGCTCTCTCTTCAGTACTCAGACGGCCCTTCACTTGTTGGGAAGAAGGATAAGATGGACACACAGAGAAGCCCAGGCTGTGTTCAGATGTTTCACCCCTTACCTTCCAGGAGCGGTCAGAGGCCTGAATCAGGGTGGAGAGTAGGTCTTGGAGAATCACCATTTTCTGTTTTAGGACCAGTTCCCTTTGTAGGGCCTCCTGCGGGGCAGAGAACATAAGAAGGTAAGGCTGACCTGGAGAAGGTAGTAGGCAAGTGGGGAAGCAGAATGGAGAAGTCACTTACTTTGAGGTACTCGGAAAGCTGGATGATTTCCTAGAGAGAAGGAAAAGGAGCTGGAAGTCTTGAAGCAGGGAACCGAAGCCTGGGCTGGCCAACGTAGAGCAGACCTTTGCTGCCTGGGCTCTGATAGGTCCCTCTGGGTCCCTCTTGCCACCAGGGGAAGGAAGTGTCCTCCCAGCCTTGCCTGAGTTTACAGTGCAATGCCAGGACAGCAGAGTGTAGATACCCTCCGGTCCACATCACAGTGAGGATTTGCTTACCTTATCCAGAACTGCGACTCCGCAACTGGAAAGAGAAGGGAAAGACAGTGGGCTAAAGAGTCAAGCAGGGCAGAGGTGGAGACGGTGGGGGCCCTCCTGGGTCAGGGGGAGGGCTTCCTCTTTTTAAATTAAGGTGGATGTGCTCGCTCTCTGTGCATGCTGGGTAGAGGGAGGGAAATAGAAGTTTAGAAGAAGCTGGGCATGATGACGCACACCTGTAATCCTTGAAGTCTGGGAGGCTGAGGCAGAAGAATCATCACATTTCAACCAAACATGGGTGACTTAGCAACTTAGTGAGAGCGTGAGTCAAAGTTTAAAAACTAAAAAAGGGCTAAGGGCTAAGGACATAGCTCCCGGTGAAGCCCCCCCCCCCCCCCGAGTTAGAAGAGGTGAGAGAGGGTCAGGGTCAGGACCGTGAGCAGCTCACTTGGTCTGCTGACTGGCATCATTCTTGATTGCTGGCTGTGTGTCTTCTGCCTTTGTCTGAGTGCCTGAGAAATAGGGAAAGGTGATTCAGGACCAGTGGGAAGGCAGTGAGGGTCTCAGGAGGGACAGGGGCTGGCCAGTGCTGGTTCTCCGCAGCCCCGTGGTGCAGGGAGTGCTTCTCTTACCGCGGTGGTGTTTGGGTGGCCTCCTGGTGGGAGAGTCTCGTGGTGGAAGGGCCCCGCAGTGGTCAGCCAGGTCCCTGTGGACACTTGAGGGGGGACGACTCTGGGTTGGAAAGGCCGTGGGGCTGGTCCCTGTCACCTGAAAAGCAGTGAGAGATGCTGGAAACCACTGTCGAGAGCTTGTTAGAAGACGCTCCCAATGACTGCAGAAAGACGAAACTGCTGTGGTCAGGTCCCTCTAAAATTCCTATCCCTCTCCCCATTCTAACTCCCACTGTGATGGGATTAGGAGGTGGAGACTTTGGGAGGCAGCTCGTCACCTGTGATGTAGAGACCTGAGTGAGCTCGTGCCCTCGTGAGAAGTGAGCTCATTGTCTGTTTTATGCCCGTGAGGAAGATGCCATTTGTATAGCTGAAAGAGCATCTTCACTAGGTATAGGATCTGCCGAGGCCTTGATCCAGGACTCCCAGCCCTAAGAATTTTGAGAAGCAAGTTTCTGTCATTTAAGTCACCCCTTCTATGGTCTGTGGTAATTTATTATAGCAGTGTGAATGGGCCAAGACAACATTTCCAGTCACGCCACTCAAAGTAATCCACGTAGGCTTCCAAAGCCACAGGTGATGCCTGCTGTTGCTCTGCCTTGTCCTGTGTGGTGGGAAGGGGCCTCCCCGGGCCAGGCAGCAGGCAGCTGGCCATGTGTGCAGCCATTCTTGCCGGGACCCTGTTCAGTCTCGGCCACTCCCACAGCCAGCGTGGCTGGAGAGGGCTTTCAGCAGCCTGGCTTCCCACCCGGCCTCTTTGCGTCTGCCTCCCGTCTGCGGGCCTTCCAGCCATGGCTTCCTGCTTCGCACAGCTGGGACTGCTGAGGTGTTATGGAGAGTGGGAAGAGTGAGGGTCCTGTGGAGGCTGGAACAGTGGTGTCACGGTTTAGTTGCCCATTTGTTTTCTTCTCAGAGACTGAAAAAGTCCATGCTAGTTAGGACACCGAAAGGCTGGGGGACTTCTGTGGTGAACGGACGTGAGGGGCGAATCTCAGTGAAACCCTGAGTGATTGATAGGCCGTGGGGATTCTTCAGTGATCTGTACTTTTTGGTTCTGTTTGTCCTGATTCTTTTTTTCTCCTGAAGACATTCAGACACCTTCTTGCCTTAGAAAGCAGATGTTTGCAGTGAGCGTGAGGGTCATTTCTCTGAGCAGCCCCTCCCAGGGCACGGGTCAGGCCCCCTGGTGGAAGCTCCACCAGAGCCCTGTGCCCGGCCTTCTTGGGGAGTGCAGAGCCCCCGTCCATCCTGCCGGGTGTTCACGGCACAGCTCACGGCTCACAGTAGGCTGCCAGCTGAGGCCGTCTCCACATACCTTGCTTTTTGCCAGCATTGCCTCTCTTGGGTCAGCCTAAAGGGCCCTCCAGGACGGGTTAGGAAGGTGCCACACAGCAGGAGGCAGAGCTTCACGGTGCTCACGGCCACTCCTGTGGCTCGAGTTGCTGCTCAGGCTGTGTGATCTGCCTCCCCTCAGGTCGCAGGGGCACTGGATTCCCATAGGAACGGGAGCCCTGCTGTGCATCCCACCCCATGCAGGAAAATCATCTTTCCCCAAACCAGAATGCTGGAGTCTGTTGCTCTGTGACTGAGACCGTCCTTGAGGATTTGTAACCTCAACCCGCAGAGAAGAGGTGGCCTGCAGAGCCCGGGGAAGGCTGCCGCCCTGACGGGGCCTAAGCGGGTGGGTTTAGCATACTGGACAGAGGGCTGCTGTGCGTGCGCATGCGCCGTGTCTGTGGAGAGCCTGGCCTGTGCAGGCTGGCGTCAGCAGCCTCCAGTAGATGACGATGGATGATGGGTGAGCGAGGGCTGTGCGTCAGCCCTGGAAGACACGTGTAGATTGCCAAAATCTAGACCGATACCAGCTGTCAGCTATGATACTGTTTTTGGGATTTTTTTTTTCTCTACTAAAAGGCAAGTGCAATACAAAAGAGAGTTAAGCAAATGAAGTCACCACACTGGGCTCGGAGTGAGTTGGTGGCTCACGGAGACTTCCCTGTACGGCCGGCCACCTGGAGGAAAGGACTTACTGAAAGTTGCTTGATGGTGACCTTGAGCACACACTTCTCCCCGCCCCCAGGGCCCACCTGCTGTCCCGGGGAAGCGTTCCTCTTGGGGTCCGACAGCAGCTCCTTGAAGACAGCTGCCTGGCCTGCGCTCCTGCAGTGGCCTTGCTCGCTGGCCCGCAGAGGCTGGGCCTGGCCCTTCTCTGCCTCCAGGTTCCTCTTCCTGAAGAACTGCAGCTGCCGTGCTCTCTGGAGCTGCTCTCGCTGCTGGGTCCTCCACGCCCTCCCCACCTGGCGGCAGGTGGTCACATTGGGCCGGAGGCGGCGGCTCTCGCGCATCTCCTGCCGTCGCTCACACTTGACCTCATAGCTCTCAGCCCACCGTGCCAAGCCAGGGGGGCGCCTGGGGCCTGAGCCGATCATGACGCCCTCCCAGGCACCTGTTGTGCTTGGTGTCCAGTTCCTTGAACAGCCGCCCGAATCTGCCAGATGCCAAGAGGGAGGAGTCAGAAGATGGGCAGAGATGACTCCCGGACTGGGAGGGGCAGAAGGAGCACAGTGCCGCATCCCTGTGTGGACAACTGAGAACGCGGGGGTGTCGCACTGGGGGCCAGGACTCTGGGCTCAACCCTTCCTGAGCTAATCTGATAAAAGCGAATTCCTGCTTTTCTCTGGTCTGTGACCCCCTCGGCAGAGTAGAAGTTTCTCTGACCGAACATCTCACCATTCCTCGGAGCCAGGGAGACGTGAGAGTGACTGGGGAAAGTCACTGAGCTTGAGGAGCCCCTGTGGGGCTTGCACCTGTCATCTTCTAGACTTAATGAAGAAATAGGCTGACACCCACCCTGCCCCTTCCTTCACCCCACAAGGGAAACTGGCGTCTTTCTGCTCTCTTGGCCCCTTGTTACCATCACAGTCAACTGACAGTCTCACCCTCCTCAGGCAGGACGGTGATGAGCAGCCTGGTTTGGCAGGGCTTGGGAGGGAGCCCACAGGTTCCTCTGTCCTGATGTGGCTGCACGGCACCCACCACCTGCCCGGGACTCCTGAGTCTTGGGCAGACATCAAGTCAGATCAGAACTGTCCAGTCATCCACCACGCCCGATGCTGGTCCCCACCTATTTCAGAGCCTCGTGGAGATGAGTGTCGCCTGCCTAGCAGGGCTGTCGGGTGCCAGTCTCCTGTCCTGTCGAGAACACCTTATGCTGTCTAGACCAGCAAGCACGTGGATTACACCTCGGTAAAGTGCTTTCAAATATTGGAGAAGCTAAACAAGTGGAAGCCGTGACCGCCAGTCTCTGGGGAGCGAGGCCTGGCGGAGAGGCCACCCTCCATGCCCTGCTGTCCGCACATCACCCAAACCCCAGTTCCTTCTTCCTTCTTTCTCTGTGCCTCTCCCTCTTTCCCACTCTTCCTACGCTACCTTCTGGAGATGCGGTCATTTCCCAGAATGCTCGGGTTGGCCTTGGCTGAGCTGAATCCCGAGCATCGGAGTTCTGTTCCCTCTGCCCATGGAGTGAGCCGGGGAAGGACTGATAGCTGTGCACTCCCCTCACAGCTGCTGCCTCTGCTCTTCCTCGAGGCCTCATCACACTGCCTGGGGTCAGAGGAGGGCGTCTCCTCCGGTCAGCAAGCCTTTGCCAGCTCTGGCCCCTCTGGTTTATTTTTAGGCCAAACAGACTCAATAGGTAACAGCCTCTCTGTCCTTTGGTTGGGCCCTGGCTGCCCACTCTGGTTCCGTCTGGAATTCTGCAGAGGATTCTCTCTCTCTCTGCTCACACTGCTCATCCTCTGGGTCCCAGCAGGCAATCTCCCTGTGTGGGAGGAGTCTGAGTGGCCAAACTCGGCACAGTCAGCTGCCTGGACCTGCAGGTTGGAGGGGCAGTTCTGAGCTTGGGGTGCTGACGGGGAGGGTACTGAGGATGCCTGTCCTCTTTGTACCTTCTCTGCACTGCACTCTCCTCCCTCCTGCTTCTGGAGTGGTGTCCACAGACTTCACATCTTTCACTTTCCTTATTTAAAAACTTAAAGAGAAGGATCCGAGGGGCTAATTCTTGTCAAGTTGTGAGTGACCAGGTGGGGGAGACTGGGATTAAGTGCTTGTGACCTCCAAGACCAGAGCCTGCACGCGTGCTGCCTCGGAAGCCATCACCCTGCTCTTCCACCTCTTAATGGGGGAGGAGTCCTGGCTCTGCAGGTGTGTGTGTGTGTGGGGAATTGTGTCTCAGCCGGCTGTGTGTGCTTTGACAAGTTATTACATCTCTAAGCCTGTGTCTCCTCGTTTATAAAACGAGGCTAACACCTGCCTGGAAAGACTGAGAATTCAGTGACAAAATGTCTGCCATGCACCTGGCACGTGGCGTAAGAAATGTCAGCTTTTTACATAATGAGCTTAAAATACTGTCCCTGAGCTGGTGTTGAATAGTGAGGTCTGGGTGTTGTAAGACAAAGGCCCCGAGCTAAACCAGTGCTCCCCAGAACAAGAATGTTTGACCTCTCCTCATTGAAGGATTACATTGTTTTGCGAATGGAGGAGATGTGATTAAAACCATGTTTGCTGCCCTGGTTCCTCTGTCCTCTGAGTCTGGGCTACAAGGAGAAAGGACTTCTCTGCAGTCTGGTTTAATCACCATCTCAATTAGGCCAAGCAGAAAGTTGAAGAAGCAGGTGGGGGGTGGCCTACCACATGGCACCATTAAAATGTAGAGTGTGAAGTCCTCCCACTTGGCCCCAAGTTAGCCACAGGCTTTGCAGTGGAGGCAGATTTCCTGTGCTGAGACTCGCCCTTGCTCCTGACCGTGAAGAGGAAAGGCCTGTGGGTGGAAAACAGACCTGAAGTCTTGTCTCTGGGCTCTTGGCCTAGGCGGTCTGAAAGTCCACCAAAACATGGCTGTTCTGCTCTCTGCAGCCTCAGGGCCAGACATTGGGACTGAGACAGGAGTGCCCCCAGAGCCCCAGGCCTGGTGGAGTTTGGTGTGACACAGCTGAGTGAAAGGACACCCATTGAGGCCATACTCTTAAGTGAAATAAGTAATTTACACACATGTAAATACCTAATAGTTTCTCTGGTGCGAAAAACTAAAAGTAGAAATAAGATCCAAATTGTATAATTGACAATGTGAAATAGGAAGAAAAGGGCTAAAGGTATAGGAAGGGTAGGGGAAAGGAAATAGGGAAAAGAAAATATATGAGAAAAGGAAAAAATAGAAACGAAGTCTTTGTAAATAAGGAAGGGTGGAGGGAAGGAAGGGAGGACAGGGAAGTGGGGAAGAAATGAGAACCAAGACCTGCCCTGTACAGGTACAAGATCCCAATGATGAGTGATGGATGTAACTGTACCATAAACTTAAAAAGTACCAATGAACTCAGTGGAGAAAGAGACACTCGGACTTCTGAGATGTATTGGCCTTTCTGGCTTGCTTCCAAACAAGATACCATGTGGGATGCCTGAGGGACAGGGATATGCTCAGGACAAGAGGGTACTAGTTCCTGTCGATTCAGAGAAAGGCCAGCAGGCTTTGGGCATCTCTGAGTTACCCTGCAGCATGTCAGGACCCTGAGGGAACAGGCAGCACCAGCTAGGGGAGGTTCTCATGGCCACAGGCAGAGACGAGGGTGCTGCCCTCATCAACTGCGGTTTGTCCCTGCCCTTCCACATCTCTGCTCCTACTTCCTGGCCATGTCTGCAACATAGACAGTGAATGGCTTCTTCTATAGGTCTGGCCTTCTGTCTCGGTCTCAGTGTGAACCCAGGAAAGGAATCTGTCCTAGGCTGGCAGAATGGCAACTTCATGTGATAAGGAGTCCTTCTCTGGAAGGGAACTAAAAAGTCATTTCATTCATGCCACTGGTGGGGTTGGTGGCCTCACCTGTAATACCAGCACTTGGGTGGCTCAGGCAGGAGGTGGGCTACACAGTGATTTCAAGGCCAGCCTGAACCATGTAGGGAAACCCTGTCTTACTTAATCTTAGCCAAAAGGCCAAGAAGTGATAGAGAAACCCTGTCTCAAACAATGAACAAAGAAAGCAAAAATCCCGAAAACAACAGAACAGTTAGTGTCTTGTTCATCGGGTAGCCAGAAGCTCAAGTCATGTGACTGACTTCTAATCTAATTAATGGACGGAGAGGGGAGCTGTCTCCTGGGCCTGGCTGGTACCTCAGGGCCCTCTTGGTTGCCCCACACCCCAGTGCCCTTCAGCTGCTGCACCCCGTATCTCCCTCTGCCAGGCTGGCTGAGCGCCTTCTGTCCCACCCCAGTTGGAAGTCCTAAGTCCGGATGTAGAAGCACCCTTCTGTTACCTCCAGATCCTGAGCTTCTGAGGTACGTCCCGCAGTCCCGGCAGATCGCGGCTCTGGTCTCAGTGGGCACTGCTGCAGGGACCAAGTAAAGTGCAAGTTCTCAGTCCATGGCTCTAGGCCTCAGCACTTCCCTTCTTGTACCATCTTTCTTTTGCACAGCAACCTTGCCGAAACAGGAAACAGAAGCCACAATGCTCACAAAGCCCAGTTCCCCTCTCGCTCTCTGGCACAATCCGAGTGGGCCCCTGAGCCCAGGGGCCTCTGGGGCTGGGCCGGGAGCTCCGCCCATCACAGCATCCCGGTCACCCTTTCTCCTGCCACTGGATTGATCTGAGCGCTTGGAGAGTTTCAAGTTCAGATCCATTCCCGGGGCTGGACAAGGACCAACCTCTAGGTTAGATTCAAACCTTGCGGTTTCTTGGAGGGGAACAATGGCTTTTTGGTGGCAATACCTGGAAGAGATGTTTGTTCTCAGTGTAGGCTTTCATACATCTCAGGTAGTTTTCTGGGTTAGGGCTTATCTCTCCCGTCAGTCACCTCTTCCCAGTGCTGCTGTTGGAAAGAGATTCTGCTCTCCTGAAGTACCTGGATTCTTCTGCAGAATTCTGGACAGAGGCCCACTCTGTTCCTTTCTAAAGCAACGAGGAGGGGGTAAAAAGGTGGGTGCTGGGGGATGAAGGCAGGAGAGCAGGCAGAATCCTATAAAAATATTCCCCTTGTCAGTTGAACTGGGAAATTCAGAGGAAAATTAAAGGGAACTGATCTGAATAATGTATTTAGGAAATTCCCGAGAAGTTCAGGATAAAATAGTGGAAAGGGAGCTGACCGGTGGGTTCACTGAGACGTGCAGCCTGTGTGGTCCACGTGCTTGGTGAGCCGCTCAGCATGGTGCCCGTGAATCTGAAGTCCGACACGCACGAGGCAGGCAGTGAGGCTTTCAGGTAGCTGTGGTAACTGTTAACACGAGGGGTCCCTCCCGGTCCTCTTTGCTGCTGCTGCTTCCTCTGTTCTTGGAGTGAAAGATGGCGGCTCTGGAGCTCAAGACAGAACTCCCAGGGGGAAGGGACCCGGCCCAGGGCTCAGTAGGAGCTGTGCACACGGGAATGTGCAGAGGGCTGGCAGCCCGGTGTGGCGAGGAAGACAGTCTCACTGTTGCAGAAGGTCCTGGGAGCTGGGGTGCTCAGGGACCAGCAGGACAGGAAGCTGTAGTAGGGAGTTCTACACACTGAGTCAAAATCAGAAAGAAGCCGGTGTGGGGCTGCACACCTGGGATCCTAGCACTCAGGGAGGACCCAGCCTCAGAGCCAGCACTGTATGCTGTGTCCCATCTGTTTATATACCTGTAGGGAGAGAAGGAAAGAGGTGGACATATGACATCTGCAACCCAGAGAGTGGAGAAGGTGGCTTATTTCCAGATACCCATGAAGGACGAAACAACTGATTACTTAGTACAGGTGTTAGGCTGAGGCGTAGCTCACTGGTAGGGTGTTTGCCCTGGCACCACAGTGGGAAATGCCACTTCATCTGGGCTGGGGTCCAGCTTGAATCCCCGAGTTTGATCCCTAGCACTGGAGGGAAAGAGAAAGAAAGGAGCGAGTGAGGGAGGGAAATTACTGTATTGGTTAAAAAGTCTAAAAAAAAAAGGATTCTTGACCACAGTACAATAACATTAGAAATAAAAAAATGAGAAGTAAAATCTCTTGGACAAATTTTTTACTTGTGATATATAGAGAATCCGCCAAAAAACGTATACGCCAGGTAAAGAAAAACTTGTATAAATATTTTAATACTAAATTCTTTGATGCCAATTGTGACACACACCTGTAATCCCAACACTTGGGAGGCTGAGGTAGGAGGATAGCCACAAGTTCAAGGCCAGCCTGAGCTACAACAAGACCCTGTCTCAACCCCTCCCCAATAAATAAAGGAATCGAGACATCATGAGATTAATACAAGTCACCTTCGGCCTCTACAGTTACAAGAGGTGCTCAGAGTGGTGGCCGTCAGCTTCCAGACATTCATCAGTATGGTGAGCTGCTGCAGTGTGTGCACATTGTTTTGATGGACTCTGTAGAGTAATCAGATCTGCAGTTAAGAACTCATTGACTGCAGTGATAATGAGAGGATTAGGAGGGTTAGGAGAGGGTGAGGTAAAGCCAAGGCACAAGCCCAAGGGACGCTCACATATGTAGTCATCGTGTTACTCAAAATAGGGTGATTAAAAATAATTTACCTATTCATCTCTTTTCAAGCAAACATCTAAAAAATGGTTGGAAAAAAACAAGATAAAGGGGCAAACTTAAAAAAAAGAAAGGTTAAGGGCCAGGAATTTAGCTCAGAGGTTCTGCCATCTGCCTCGCAAGCACAAGGTCTTGAGTTTGATCCCTGGTACCAAAAAAAAAAAAAAAAAAAAAA